GTCCCAGCTAGTCAGGAGGCTGAAGTGAGAGGATCACTTGAGCCCAGGAGTTCGAGGTCGCAGTGAGCAATGATCATGCCACTGCACTCCAGCCTGGGTGATAGCAAGACCCTGTCATTCATTCATAAATAAATAAATAAAACCACTACAAAAGCTTGAATTTGGCCCACAAGGACAAAGTATTCAACCAATGAATGCAGTTTAACTTGATAATCTCTTTTTATATGATATTTTAAATCTAGAAACAGGTAAAGAATTCGACAATTTTAGAAAATGTTAATTTGTGGAGAAACTAAGATTAATTTACCAGCAAATATTACACAATAGCAAAGGTAAGCACCCCACTTTAGGTTCTGCCTCTGCCTTTTCAGAGTTTTCAGTCAGCCTCCACCCTGGTCTCTCTTGGGGGCCACAAGCAGAGTGTCACCTCCCCACTACCCCTCTTATCCACCACACTTCTTGCCAAGGTCGAGTCCAGTGATTTCATCTTACTTCCACTTTTTCACTTCCAAATAATTAACTTAGCTTCCTTACCACTCCATTGAGAAATACAGTAGTATGTGTTTAAAGACAGGGATAGGTCCTGAGAAATGCATAGTTAGGTGATGATATTAGTTGTGAGAACATCGGAACACTTATACAAACCTAGATGGTATAGCCTACTACACACCTAGGCTATGGGGTTGCTCCCAGGCTACAAAGTAACAGTATGTTACTTTACTGAGTACTGCAGGTAACTGTAAGTATTTGTGCATCTAAACACAGAAAAGGTACAGTAAAAATACAGTATTATAATCCTATGGGACACTGTGATCGTATGTGTGGTCCATCACAGACTGAAATATGGTAAGGTACGTGACCTTGTTGAAATATCTTCCAAATCTGAAAGCAATTTTGCATACCTTGTGTATGAACTATATGGTTTCCTCTATCCCATAATGTCCAGCATTATCAGTTATAAGGAAGTGGGTTGACAATTCTAATGGGGACACTTTAATCCTTGGGAGTTTGATTTGTGATACCTCATCAACATTTTCAGATAGATGGCCAGGGATAGCTTTCTGGTTTACTCCCCAAACATCCTACACTCAATCTGCCTGACAGTTTACCTCTGTCAATTTCTCATCCACATGCGACTCCAGAAAAATAGTAAACCTCCTTCAAAAAATGCTGGGTACTTCCTCTTCTAGATTATGCTGTCTTTCTAAACCAGATGTCTCAAAAAGAATGTAAAAGGTGATCTCCAGGAGTATAGGAAAAAAAACATAAATATTCAAATCATGTTTGTGTCATTCTTTTATTTCTATTTTGCATATTTTATAATGCAAATAGCTTATTCTTAAGTGTGTGACTATAAATTTATAAATGATGCAGGTGTGAGCAAAAAGTATTTTATTGCTGGGACTGCAATGTCACAACTGTGTAAAGACTACTGGGCTAAATAATAACACTTTCTCCTAATATACTTTCCTTGGTGCTCTATGGACGATTCCTATTAAAATGTTGTATTCTAGTTGTTTGTCTAATAAAATATTTTACATTCATGCGCTGTTTAGAATGGTAACATAACATTCTTGTTACTAAAATCAGACCTCCCTCTTGGCTTCCTATTATATTTTGAATTATATGTTCTTATTCAAGTCTATTCTTAAAGACATCTCTATAATTAAAAAAAATTTTTGTCATTATTTCAAAATTAAAACCAAGTAAGCAATCAAACATGCTTTAAAAAAAATGACATGCACAGCAAATTTTCAAACACTTCCTAGCACTCAGAAAGTATAGGCATTGTTCTAAGTTCTTTCTCACTTAGTCCTCATAACATAATTATAAAATTATATCAAATTATTAATTTTTAATAAAATTAATTTTAAAAATTAGCATTTATTAACAGATATAAAAATTTTATTTTTGTAAAACTCACTCCTCCTCTAAAAACATGGACAATACTATTCTCAATGAGGAAGTTCTGAGGACAAACCATTATTCCCTGTGACTTCCACTTCCTTCATCTACCTACTGTCAAGGAATCCAGTTATTAACTGTGTGGCCTTGAGCAGGCAATTTAACCTCTCTGTGCTTCAGCATCCTCATCTGTACTAAGTTCATTTATCAGAGCACCTACTATGTGCCAGGCACTGGTTCTTGGCTGAGGGATGCAGCCGTGAATAAAAGACAAATCCTGTGCTCAAGCAGCCTATTAGGTGATCCCAAGAAGGCACAGACGGTAACTGGCCATTATACTGTTAGCCATTATTATTTCCCAAAATGAAGGCTACTTTCGTTACCATTACCTTAGTCCTATTTTCACTTTAAGGCAAATTCCACCTGGCCCCCAACTGTTTCTTAGCTGGTGAAAAAGGGCAGAAAAGGGGACAGTGAAATGATCAATCAGAATTTGACATCAGCGAGCACATACACCCTCTACCTTTCCTGGAAATGAAGTGTGTAAAGCTCTACAGATCCAGCCAGCTGTGGGGCGTAAAACACATCACAGCCAGGAACAAGGTTCTGCAATCGACTCTTGATGGATAGCATCCCGCAGTGCCCTGCATCCTCCCTGCACTTTTCAGTGATACTGATGAAAGCCTATTTACCCCTGGAGGCTACAGCTGCCGCACCACGTGTCTGACAGCTGCAAGATTCAACTGCAGTGCAACTTAATCCCCAACAATGCCACTTCCAGGCTGCCCTTGCAGGACCTACCATGAGACATCTTTTTATTTATTCCAAATAATTATATAATCACAGACCATGCTCTCCGTGATCACCACTATCACACCGAAAGCACTGCTCAGGCAGTCTGCCTTTTAGCACAGAATTTAAAACTACAGGCAGGAGAATAAAAGAAGACTGCTGAATCCAAAGTAAACATATGAAGTAAAAATGGTAACAGGAGCTCTCAAGAGTTCCCTTATAAACAGCGCACAAACACCCCACTAAACCTAAATATCTGAGGCAGGCCCCCATCTCCACCTGGGGGATCACAAATACCACTGGCCACCACTTAAGATAAGATACACCTTTAGGAGTTTTAGGTTACAAGCTCAAAATCTGCTTGAGGAGCCAGGTAAAATCTATTTCCTCGTGTATGTATTTCATACCGTTCTGCTAAATAGGATAAAAACCTGTTTGCAGTTTGCTGATCGTCTACAAAGCCTGGTAGTTGGCCATGATTTAACCTCACCCTTGGTATTTGCTCTGTCAGCATTAGAAAAATATTCAATCCTCCTCTCTGCCTCCTCCTCCTAGCATTTGTGCACCTAAATTCAGTATCAGGTTGCTGATTTCAGACTCAACGGGCAGCTTGGCTCCTTCGGGCAGGTCAGCAGGAAGGAGAGTTCAGGATGAAGCTGAGAAGGGAGCACAGGCTGAGCCCTTCGCCACACTGTCCATGCCACCGGCCCCTCCTGGCGCAGGTCCCAGGCTGGCAAGAATCTTCTACTGACAAGACTGACTGTAGATCACACAGGCACCACTACACTGGGCCCTTACACTTCTCTGTAACCTCCAGCCTCTTCTGAGACCAGGTCAGTGTCACCTGGGCTTTATGCCGGTTTATCACAGCACATGCCCAGTCTGGACACTGGAGAGTGGTCCCTTCCATCTGACTTGTCATTCCTGTGGTCCTGCTGCTCCCAGCCCCCCACCCTCTTCTCCTCATCCAGCATTCCCTATTCCAGGTACTTCCTCTTGAAAGGCAGGAGTTGTTGGTAGAAGAATGTACTTTGTTTTGTGTGGAACAGAAACTGTTTTAGATTAGAAAAATGTGTTCTCTTTGATTTTAACTAATGCCATTTGCTTCTGTAACTGTGCTTGCTTTTAGTTGTTAGTCAAATATAGTTAATCAAAAAAAACAGGGCGGGAGTAACTCCATGACAGGCTGAACTTCCTAGAGTAGGCCTAAGTCTCAGTCCCCCTCCCCAAACGCAGATCAGAACTGGCGCAGGTGCGAAAATTGAAAATCCTGAGGCTTGGGACCACCCAATCAGGGGTCAGAACAATCCTCCACTTTCAAAGGAACCAATGGACGAAGGGGGAAAGGGGATGGTGGGCTCAGCGTATCGTATGCCACCGGTGTGTCGTGCACAACCAAAAGTATAAAAGCTTCACTTTTACCCCGGGGCGGGGTCCTGGTTCATAGGGAGGCCACTGCGTTGGTGCTCTGGGACTTGGACCCTAGCTCGAGCTAGCAAATAAACTCCTTTGCCATTTGCATCCTCGGTGACTCTGCTTCTCTGTTCCTGGGGCCGAGGGGAACCGGTTCTTACACTCTATCCACAACCCCCCGCATTCTCCCTCTCCCACAGTCTCTGGAACCTTCTTTCTACTGTTCAATTCCGTAAGGGATACAAGCAAGGGCTCCGGAGTCGGAGGGATCTGGTTGCACCCAGGCTACGCCACTGCTGGATGTGCGACCTTGGGCAAGTTGCCTAATCTCTTTAAACCTGAGATTCCTCATCTGCACAGCAGGGCTTTACCTCATCTCTGAAAGTGAGGATTAAATGAAAATACACACAAAGCACTTAGCGAAATCCCCAGCATACATTCAAATATTTAATAACTGCCCATTTTGTGCCAGGAAAAAGTTTCATAAATGGTAACGATTATCATTCCCTCCCTACACCATCTTTTTATTTTTTATTGTGGTAAAATAGACAAAACATCAAATTTTACCATTTTAACCATTCTTAAGTATACAGTTCGGTGACACATTCGCATTGTTCTGCAGCCATCGTCACCGACCATCTATAGAACTTTTGCATCTTCTCCAACGAAAACTCTGTACCCATTAAACACTAACTCCCCCTCTCTGCTTCCAAGGCGGCCTCACTCCACCTGGAGGCACTGGTTCAAGTGCGGCTCTGGGCGGGCAGAAAGACTGGACCTTCTCCAGCCCATTTCTCTTCCAACCTCAGGTGAAACTTCGTCCTCCTCTGAGGCTCCCACTATTCACAGTCATACTACCCTCTACCCCAAATCTCAGCTGTCTCACCTACCTATTTTCGGTAACTTCTCATTCACCAGAAAAAGAAGAGGAGAGGCTCAGTTCACAATTCTCTCTTCTGCCCTTTTTCCTTAGAGACGCTCTTCCCCAACAGTCAACTCCTAAATGACAAGAGCAGAGGGGACAACCTGGATTAGAACCTCAACTGCACCATTTATTAGCTGCATGGCCTGAGGCAACCCCTTCACCTCCCCGGGTGGCCTCACCTCTATAGGGGACAACGATAGCGCCTATTCATGGAGCTCTTGTTAAACCAACAGTTCAAAGCACAAAGAGCAGTGCCGGCACAGGGTCAGGAAGTGATGGCAGATGCACTTGGGCTCTGGCCCTTGGCTCTGGCCCGCCATTCCTTGGGTCACACCTCACAGCCAGAAGCATATTTCAAAGCTCTTGCTTGATGCCCACAACCTCCTATCCTTCTGGCTCTCACAGCCCCTTCTCCCCCCTGGTCCTTGCATCCTGATGTCCCTTGAGTGTGTGCCATCTTCATTACCTCACAGCATGGACCCCACCACTGACCATCCAGCTCTCCCCATCGACTCTCTGCAGCCCTCTTCTTTGACCACACCATGGGAATCAACACAACTCAGCTTGTCCTCACCTACACCCCGGGACCAAAGACCACGGAAAGATGCCATTGCACTTGAATTCTCTGACCCAGAGAGGCCCTTTGTATCCTAAGAAAGCCCCCTCCCATTCTCCACAACCACTGTTTGAAACTCCTATCATTTTTCTCAGTCCTGCTCTAGCAAATGCCCTTTCTTCCCACTTTACCCAGAAAACCGAAGCCAGCAGGCTTGATGTGCTAACACCCCACCTTCCTGCCCCTACTCCTGACCTACCAACTTAGCCACAAGCACCTCCCGGGCTCTTCCTCTTACTCCTATTCTGAACCAACCTTTCCCTCAGCCTCTCTTTCAGCTCCCCACTGCGCTGCGCTCCATCCACCATTTAACTTTCCACCCCTCCGCTAGGGTGTCCCTCCACCCAAGCCCCACCTCGCCTGGCTACTCCCCTGAGACACAGCTCAAGAATCACCTCCTCCAGGAAGGCCCCCCTTATTCCTCCTCCTCCAGCTTCTCTAATGCCTCCTTAAACTTCACTTTGCTATTTTCTCTCTCTCTGAGAAGAGAGGCTACATCATCCATTGCGACTCCTCAGTGCCTGGCACATCGATGTGCCAAGAACTGTTGAATAAATAAAAGGATGAGTACAGCAGACCCTGCTTTCTATGCTGAAATATTTTATTAAAAACGTCGCCAATTAAGATTCATCACCAGCCACTTACATACGATGCCGTACATTTTTTGCCTCTGATCTAGACTGAGAAACACCCCTTCCCCTTGTCTTTCCAGAACAAATATCCCTTTGATGAAAGAAAAAACCAGAAAGAAAAACACTACTTCCTCTTCAACAAAAACAGAAAACCCAAAACAGCAAAAGACAGTTTATGAAGAATATCTAGCTGACCCCAGCTTAGGTAGGGATAAATGCAGTTGTCCAAGCTTAAGAGAAGAAAGGGAAGTTTACTTTGGATGGCTATTTGGGGAGGCAACAATATTCACATGCTAAACAAGAAAGCTGACAAAATAATAAATCTCAGGTCTATTTATGAAGCAGGGGAGGAAAAGGAAACCAGTAACTCAGTGGAAATTTCCTTCCTTTGTCTAGCTTTGCTTCTGGTATGGCTACCACATTAATTTCTCAATACTAACTTAGGACAATTTAATTTATAGGAAGTGATTTCGAAGGGCCTCAGGGAGGTGCAGATGGTACCTTGGGGGCCCATCTGTTTAAGGATGAAAGCTTAGCCGCACACCATTACATCACTCTGACCTTCCCAGCAACTTCCTATCTGACAAAATCTAGATGTTTGCTCTGTCAACAAGATATTTGTGTTTGTCCCCAGCCTCAGGCTTTGGTTCCTGATTAGTTTTAAAATCATTATGCACCCAAACTGAATAGGGCTACTGTTAGCAGCTGTAAGGTCTTCTTCTGGGCAAATCCCCAAGTCTGTGGCCTTCAGGGAGTGATTTCTGTCCTTTCTGCACAACTGCACACTCTCCAGACTGATGAGCTGGTCAGTCTTCCTACCTGCTTCCAGAACTAAAGCCTCTCTCCTCCGGCTCTATTCATTTTCCCAGGAGATCAGAGGGAAGGGAGAATGGCATGGTGAGGCAGGCCTTAGGCTCTCCCCAAATAAATGCTCAGACACTACACACTACAACTTTAGCAGCTCGGTGCTGTCTCAGACCAGACTCACCACCCCGTGCAGCCATCCTTAAAGCTGCCCTCATGCCAGGAAAGCAGCTGTTACGTCCTGGATGCTCACAGATCCCATGATGCCCCACTGCTCACGAGTATAGACCCACGTCAGTCAAGCATGGTCACCTGATCACACACATCTGTGATCACTTTGGGATGTGCCTAGATAACCGACATCCTCTCCAACTTCTCATGGTCCTGTAGGCTCAACAAGGCACAACCATAGACATAGTGTCCACTGTGACAGGCCCAATAGGTGCTAGACAACCTCGGCAGAGAATGCAGAAATTACATTTTAAACAGGCTTGGGTGGCGAGGGGGTCACATGTATTTATGTGTATAATTTACTTTAAAATACTTTTTTAAATAAGATGGATTGATGGGTAGATATGTAATGAAGCAAAGATCACAAAATCTTAAATTGTAGAATCTAGGTGGCGGGAATGAAGATGTTCACTGTACATTTCTTTCAACTTTTATGTTTGAATGTTTACATAATGCAATGTTGGGAGGCAAATATTTTTAGTGCCCTTTTAAAAAATTAACTGAACTCCAAACTTCATTTGGGTTTTGACCAACATTTCTACCAATGTCCTTTTTCGTTCAAGGATCTCAATCCAGGATCCCACTTTGTAATTACCTGCCCTACCTCCTTGTTCTCCTCTGGTCTGTTACAGTTTCTCAGTCTTTCCTTGTTTTTCACGACTTGACAGTCTTGAGTAGTACTGGTCCAGTACTTTGGAGAATGCTCAACTGGGACTGGTCCGATGTTTTCACGGCCATATCGGGGTTATAGGTTTTGGGGGAAGACCACAGACATGAAGTGCCCTTCTCATCACATCAAATTAACTGTACATGCTTTCAACATGATTCACCACTGGTGATGTTAACTTTGATTGCTTGGTTAAGGTAGAGTTTGTCAGATTTCTCCACTATAAATTTACTTTTTCCTCCCTTTCCATACTCTATCCCTTAGAAGTGAGTCACTAAATTCAGCCTGGCTCAAGAGGTGGGGGAATTAAGCCCTAAGCTCCTGAAGAGGGAAGTATCTACATAAATTATTTGAAATTCTCCCATAAGGAAGATATCTCCTCTCCCAGTATAAAGTTATGTACAGGTGTAATTATTTTATACTTTCAATTATAATACAGCACTACACTATTTATTTTGTTTCTCAAATTATTCCAGCTTTGGCTATTAGGAGCTCTTTGAGGTTGGTTCCTATATCCTTTTGACATGCACACACACCCTTTGTTTTATGAGCACTTCCTTCTTTTCTGACAATGCAAGATGCTCCTGACCTATAATTATCCATTTCTTCAAAGAGTCATGGTTATTGTTTATTGGAGAATGGTATTTAGGAATCAGAATATGGGTGTGCTTGTTGCTACTGGAATGTCACTGCTTTTAAGCCCTCTCTGTGGACAGATCTAAGAAATACATGTGTGTATCCTAACCCATGAATACACACATATGTATAATAGTCAAAACACCATTTTCCAAAGTTACCTAAGGCCATGCCTTTTTTTCCCCACTCTCTTCAGTGCCTACGTCATATAACTGTCATGCAGGTAGATTCTTTTCTCAGAGCCTACATCTCAATACCCTCCCCCCACACACACACACACACACACAAAGAGGCACAAATAGTTACCGGTTGATTTTTTTTTTAATTTGTATACATTAAAGTTTTTTTAATTAAATTTTTTTGTGGACATGGGGTCTTGCTGTGTTGCCCGGGCTGGTCTCAAATTTCTGGCCTCAATCTTCCTGCCTTAGCCTCCCAAAGTGCTGGGATTACAGGCAGCCCATTAAAGCTCTTCAGTGTCTATTTTGTCTAAATATGTAGCATCTATTTACTCAAATACCTAACACCACCTTCCTATTGGTATACACGTTGTTTTATCCTTAGTACCATAATACTTAAGTCTGAGTGTACCCTAGGACAGATAGTTTAGTTCTGGACCATGGTGATTACTCAGAGACTAATAAGATGAACAGATTGGACAAACGTATTCAAAGAAACAACTATGTTTAGTTAATTTAACACAGTTTGATTGCTGGAAGTCGTTCAATTAAAACTAGAATACTTCACTGCAGTGTTATTTAAAATTTAGTAATAAGTAAACACTTGGAAAAATTGTGTTACACCTACAGGCTGGAAAGTGAATTACATGGAATCATTAGAAATCATTTCCAGAAGAATACATGTTAATATAATATATACCGTGTGTGTACAAAAATATAAAGCTATACAAAAGTATGCCATATTATTTAGCATATGTCTGTGAAAAGAAAAACACTGAAGGCAGACTTACACAAAATTATTTTAAGTTCCTTTTTTCTTCTCTTTTAATTAAAGGAGAGAAGAACTGCTTGCTGTGTGGGAAACCTTCCAGAGGATTCTTCCAAAACACAGAGTGTTGGACCCGACAAAGAAGAAACACAGAATCAGTCACTGTGTACCATGTGGAATGGCATTCAGGGCTGAGCAAGGCAGGAGATGCCCAGACAACAGGCAAGAGCAAAAGGTTGGTTGGTAGATGTCCTCCGGTCGGCTATAACCTGAGATGAGAATCTAAAGGTCAGGGCAGTAGGTGTCGGCGCTAACATGTTTGATACAGACAGAAGTACAAGAGTGGAACTGAGAGCTGTCAGGGGAAGCATCCTGAGAAATGTGGGGTTTAAAGGACAGGAAAGATTTAAATGGGAGTCAGGGAGGAGGGAGGCAGGCAAAGTGAACAGAGACAGGTATAAGACTGCCTTTTGGCCTGGAAGGTTTCTCATTATCCCTTTCTATAAAAACCTAAAGAAGATTTCTGACGCCTACCAAGAG